CAATCTCTGAAGAAAACAAGGCTGCAGCTTTCCCATTAGGGCTCACACTACACATAGGGCATAGAATCAAACAACATTATTTGCATTTGTTTTCATTCCTAAAATATTCTCAATTGCCTAAGCACATATTCAAATCATCCTAAAACATACCATTCTTGGTATGATGGACATGACTAGGGGGCAAATGCCAACCTTATCTAAACATAGCTGTAAATCAGCATGAAGTTATAGTAGGGCCACCAGGGTGTTGATGTCAAATAACCACAGAAGCTCTAGGCGTGATGGCCAGAGAAATAAAGACATGGGGCCATATGCAGAGGTACAAGAGTTACAGTCACCCCCCACTAATCAAGCATTTAAGACATAGCAACTCCCTTGTCCAGTACCACCCAAGGGGCCTTAGAAATGTCTGAAGAACTGCTTATTTGGTTCCCCTCAATGTCTGAGGCTGCTGATGCTTTCAGGACTGCCCTCTGTGTGTGGCAGATCACTTAAAAGGCTGCAGGAGGAGTAGTCAACTTCCGGACCTCACCAGATGAGCTTGGCAGCCCTCCTCTGAACTTCCATAATGCCCTCTTCCTCTCTCCAGCATGGTACTAGCCCACCACTTTCTAATGCCTCTCTGCTCCTCACTGAACACCTCCTTTTGTATCTGTTTGCATCATCAGTTGAGAGCTTCAGGGAACAGACCAGATCTTATTTACCTTCTATCCCCAGCTTAAGCCCAGCCCAAAGCCCCTCACAGAATAGAAGCCTCCCCCAGAGTTGGTTGAATGTATGCAAATATGAACAATGAACTTAATGCTGTTCTAGGGCATACGAAGTCGGCCTCCCCTTTCACTTTCAGCTGCAGCCACTCTTTACAACCCTGCTCCGTATTTTCAGTCAATACCTCACCCCCACTGAGCCCATCAGTTCTGTCCTGGCTGCCTCCTTCCCTTCCATTTGAGGTGAAGTGCCTCAGTTTGTACTTCTGGCATTTCTTCTGCCCCTATTGGAAGGCTTCTCCCCACCCATCCCCCTTCCAGGCCCCATACAGCAGCTGTCTGACCAACCTGCTGGTGTGTCTGCCAAGTTCACAGTGACTATGCCCAGCTCAGCAGAGCTGAGTTAGAATTAACATCAAGGCGGGCAACCTGGCTATGCGCCAGGTCCCTGCTGTTAGGAAGCCTGTATTGTCATATAAGGTTAAATGGGCCTTATAAGTGCCTGGTGAAATGGTCCCAGAGCCAGATATGCCTTCTAACAAGCAGGCATTGTTGCTTAACTGTTTTACCCGTGCAACCTTACCTCAACCTCTGATTGTAAACTCCTTTAGGGGCCGCACTGGAATATCTCCTTTTAAACCCACCAAACACTCAGCTAGCAGAGTGCTCTGTGCCTAGTCAGCTTCTAAGGAAATCTCTTTACTGAAGAACAACCACATCTGTCAACAGTTCCCAGTCCCAACTCCACATCAACAGGTGCTTTCACAGGCACTATTTTCATTAAGTCCACAGAGCAGATCTCTAGGAAGAATCATCATTGCCACCTTTACAGAAAAATATTACCTAACTTCTAACGTGGCAGAGCTGGAACCCAGGTTTCCAATGTGGGAGTCCGTTCCACTCCATGATGCTCCTTCATTCAAAAAAAAAAAAAGAAAACTTTTTGCATGAATGAAAAAGCAGAAGCAAGGCTCCCTGAACACAGCCATTCTCTGCTCCCTAGATCTCAATGTCCATGGTTTCACTCCACCAGACCCCTGAGGAGATGATGATTAGGTTTTTGACTTTTACCCATGATGTATGAGGTCTGCTGCCAGGGGGGCAGTATTCAGTGGCAACTTTCCCAAGGCACTGGCAAAATTAGTTGGTGCAATATCATTTAGAGATTTTTTTTTTTTTAACTTTGTCCATTACTAAAAAGGAACCACAACAAAAAACCATGAGCAGGCAGCCACCATGAGAAAAACCTTTCCAAGAAAATCTTTAAGCTAGGCTGCTTTTCAAACTTTCTTTATCAGCCAGCACAAAAACTATGCCACAGGAAACTACAGTGCTGAAAGAAGTCCTGGGTTTTGTTTTTGTAAAATTCTTCCTTGTGCCTGTCTTGTGAGACGTGACAACAGGCCTCCCCCTTGGAAGCGGCTTTGCAATCTCTCAAAATTAAAAATGGTCTTTGGAGAATTTCAGCAGCAGTGACGTAAAAGTCTGGAAATAGGTTTTTAATGCATCAACGAACCTACACAAAGTTTCTTGTCAAAAAGATGCCGCCCTAAAAGGTCTGCACTGTACTTGACACGCCAAGGTCAAGTGAAAACAGTCGATCCCTTAATTGAGGCAGGACATTCTTTTCCTGCAAAGGGAGAACTCCAACTCCGTCATATCTTTGGATGGAAGTTTGACCCCACTCACCTTAACACCCACATGAGGCTACCTGTCTCAGAGCAACAGATTAGCTCCACAGCTATAATATCCAACATGTCACAAGGAGGGATTATATTATCTGCTCGTTAGACAGCTAAACCCACATAACTTCAGACCCACTGAACGAATCCCAGAGCTTTGCAGAGGAAAATTTGAGGCTTGCAACCTTGTTTTAAGGGCAAGAAGTGTAACCTGCTTTAGATTTTATTTTACAAATATCACCCACCGCCCCCCCCCCCCCCCACCCAGCGCAAAACAAGCTGGCAGTCTAACAAAAAACTGGAGAGATTTCCCTCAATTTTCCCAGAAGGAGGCAAGTGGCAGATCAATGTACAGCTCAAGAAGAAGAATTTAAATACAGTATGTGCTACTCCTTTTAAAAAGGGAGAGAAGCCACTTCACATTTTGCCAGACAAAACCCTGGCCCCAGGAGGCCAGCTTCCACAATGGGGTTGCAAAGGTGTTAGAAAGAGGCCAGTTGGGAGGAGATAAAGGGCCATTTGGGCACAAACCCCCCACTGATCAGAGCTCTTTTTTTTTTTTTTTCTTCTAAAGTGTCTCCTTTTCAACAGGGAAGCCTTTTAAAACTACATTTGTTTTGGATCCCTACCTGAAAGACAATGTGTAGGGATCCGATTTCACCTTTTGTCAAGGATTGGGTGAGAAACAGTAAAACTGCTGTCAGCATCTTAGAAAAAGCTAGTCCTTAACTTATATGGTGGTTGGGGGGGGGGGGGGGGGAGGCGGAATCCTAAGGTCCCCTGTCCAGCCCCAGTGATAGGATGAAGGTGACAAATGCCTGCTAATCTTAAGATCACTGTCCAAAACTGTAATGTATTAAATTTCTTTATTAGAAGGGGGTCTCTATGCAAGAACACAATTGTTTGTCCTCTGAATTGAAACATTCATCAGTGGAAAAAGAAATCCTAGTTTTTCCCTAACATTTTAGTTCATTTCCTCTAAAAGTCACTTGACTCCTGAGAACTCTGTCAGCAATCATCAGAAATCAGAAAATGCATATGGAAAAAATTATAACAATCTGAATCGAAAAGATCTGCATAGAAAAGTTCAATGATGTAGATGAAAAGTTTGTCTACTAGTATGCAAATGAGGAAAAATCGGACTCTACTGCACTTCAGGGCTGGTGTCTGCACATAAACACAATTATCTTTCAGGCAAACCATCCACTCCTAGAACAAAACAAACCACCCAATAGTCTTTCACCACAGCGGTAAAGGTTGGTGGAACTGACTTTAGGAAAACTGTATCATCCTTGGAGGAGACTGGTGGTGGTTAGGGAGGGAGGGTAAAGAAAAAAAAGCAAAACCAAAAACCGGAATCTCAAGTGACTATAACACACCTCTCCCGATGGGAGGTAGAAGGGTGGTCACGGTAGAATCGAAATCAGAAACCTCTTCCGAGAACACATTCCTGGCAACTTCGCTCTTTCGTAAACCACATGCATCACCATTATTATTGTTCGAATACAGAAGAGAATGAGGTTACTTTACAGAAAAATGTTAAGACAAATATTTCAGATTCGGAATGTCAGTTCAACCTCTCCTAATCGAGTGGGCCTTTCCGGCCAAAGAGGTTAAAATAACGGCGAGATAGAATCTCCAGGTGGTTGCTGTTTAGCAATTTTTCTTTCTTTTTTTTTTTTAACTACTGTTGGTTATTAGTAACATCTTCAGGATTCCTTACTAGCCTCGGGCAATCTTTCTTTAGCACCACCACCACCACCAACCACCCCGCCTCCCCGGGAGGACGGACCTGGTAAACAATTTAGAGAAATGGGAACCTTATTCACTATGCTTTCTTTTTCCTCCACCCCAAACCAAAAGGCATACACAGAAAACACTGGGACAGCGCGCAACCAACAACAACAGCGGAAAGCAACAAAAAATGTCCCCCACACAGCACGAGTCGGGAAGCTACCCGGAGTCTACCAGGCCGGCCCCTCCCCCAGGGCGCCCGGGCCGGGGGAGCGAGCGCCGAGTTCACTCCCCGGCCGCTCCCAGCCGGCCCAGGTGGCCCTGGAGCAGCTGCGCCCGCGGCGCTGCCGGCCCTCCGGGCGCCCATAAGTGCGCCTCGGTCTGGGGGACCCGAAGAGGTGATCAAAGGGGTGCAGACTGGGAGCCTCGCAAAACCGTCCGAGCCAGGCGGGGCCGTCTGCCCCGGGATGGATACACAAAGAGGGAAAGGGCAGTGTGTAGGGGTGGCGGGGTTAAAAAAAAAGACTGCGGGGGAAATTGGTGCAAATTAGGAAAGAAGGCGCGAAGGAACCTGAGAATCCTCGCCGATAATGGAGCTGTGCCTGGGGAAGTGGGCCCTGTGCAAAGGGCAGGGGCTTCTGCTCAGGAAAGAGAGAGGGACCAGAAAACTTGAAGAGGAGTTGGTGTGTAGTTAGGGCATCCACGCAGAGGCCAGAGGTGTCCGGGCAAAGGGTGCTCTGTGCATGCCGGCGAGGTCGGCGCTCGGTTAAAGTGACCTGTACTGGGGATGGGACCGGGCTCTGCGCAACGGAGCGAGGCGGGATGTGCCTGGCAAGTTCCGGGGCACCAGTTGAAGGAGGGTGGGGGGGACGCTTACCTGCATGGTGACGACCCCCAGCTCTTCCGCCGCCAGCCTCCGCATCTGGCTCGCCAGCACTTGCGCCTCGTCCAGGATAGAGAATTCGGCGTCGGCTCCGGCCCCCAGCAGCCAGCCCACGGCCAGGCAGAGCAGCCAGAGGGGCGGCCGCCGCGCCCCGACCCGTCCGAGTGAGCCGCGACCCCCGCGGGCCAGGGCGGCCGCCCCTGCCGCCTCCTCTTCCTCCGGCTCTCGGGCCATGCCGCCTCTCCCCACTCCCCGCCGACGGGCTCCAGGAGCCGGGAAGCGGGGAGGTAGCCCCGGGAGGTGCGCCCAGGGCCCGCTCGGCGCACCCCGCAAAACTTTCTCGCCCTTCTGCAGCAGCTTCTACGCGCCCCGGCAGCTCCTAAACTTAGGGGGGCGCCCAGCTACGGCGCGGGAGCGCGGGCGGCCACCATCGCCGGATCGGGCGGCCGCGGAGGAGAGGAAGCAACCGCCCCAGCCGTGTCCCGGACCCCAGCGCCGGCGCGGCCCCCGCGAGGCGGCGGGCGGCTGCGAGAGCTGCGGTGTCCGCAAGCCGGTGCGTGGCCGCGGGGCTCACAAGCCGAGCCGCGGAGCTTTCGCTTCCCGCGGGTCCCAGCGGAGAGAGGCGGCGGCGAAGGCAGGCGGCTGCAGCCTGGGAGGAGGAGCGGCGATCGGGCTTGGTAGGCTGGGGCAGCCACCCGAGCGAGCAGGGAGAGGTTTAAAAAAAAAGCTGAAAGAAAGAAAGCCAGCGGCGGGGGAAAGGGAGGTGTCTGGTGCCACCACGCTGCGCTCCGGCTCCGTGCACTTCCCGGCCCGGCGGCCGCCGCGGCTGCGGTGATTTATGGAAGCGGGGAGAGAGGCGGGGACATTCCCCCGGTCGCCCCTCCTCTCTCTGCCCGGCTCCCGCCTCAGAACCGGCCCCCGGAGACGCCGCGGGCCCGAGAGCAGGCTCTCGGCTCGGGTACCAGACCTGCTTGGGGTGGGGGTCCCTGGAACCTTTTGGTTGCCGGGGGCAGCTACCCACCCAAGCTCTCACCGCCTCCGCCCCCGCGAAGGGACTCCGGGATCCCACCCATCGAAAGTCCCTTTAAGTTCTAGGACGCTGGCTTTCTGCCTGGCAGAGATTTGTGAAGGACGGGACTGCCATTTGTGCGTCCACTGCTCTTCTTCGTGGTCATTAGTAACAATAGCTAGCATTCGTTAGATCAACGGATTCCTTTTTGTTTTTAACCAACTACTATGTGCCCGGCCCGGTGCTCTGGGGTTTGTATACATTATCCTTTAATCCTCACCACATCCCTGTGAGGTATGTATCTTTATCCCCAAATTTTAGGTAACAAAGACCGAGGCTTAGAGAGGTGGAATAAATTGCCGAAGGTCACCCAGGGGATAAGAGGCAAATCCAGAACTTAAGCAGTTGGAGACTATTGCTCTTAAATAGGACATAGTTCTTTCTGTCTCTTTTTGGAATTGAACCATCTGATCTCATCAAAAGCAAAAAAACAAAACAAAACCCAAAAAACTACTGAGCTGGAATTCACTCCAGACATCTATTCTCTGCAGCGGGGGAAGGGAACTTCCTTGTTCCTGCCTACTCCTGACTCCTGGCTTAGGCTCTCTGAGAAATCACCTGTTGGAAGCACCTGAAACAAATAGATGAGGGTTGTGGTGGGGGGCGGGTGGGGTGGTAAGGCCACCATTCTTCCAAGCCAGGTTCCTTCTTGCAGGTTCCTAGAGGCCAGAGTCATGCCCAAGAAGGTGAAGGCTGTCTAGCAGAGGCCTTTCTAGCAGGACTAGAAAGAACCTGGATTTGGTGCCCTCCTCACTTTACAGCAAAACCTTCTGTTTTATTCTTTCCCTGTATTTTTTTTTCTTTCCCTGTGTTGTATTAAAAACACAAGCTTTCCCTGGCCCATTATACCTCAAGACTGTTTTTCAGTTCTGAGTTCCCCAATCATTGCTGTATCTGCTATACTCTATGGTTTCATTTGTGATACTCTCCCTTCTATCCCCTCTTGAGAGGCACACAGGACTCTTGGAACAACATCATTTATTATGTGCAATGCTTGTTTTACATAATGATTCCTGGAAGTAAGGTAAGCTCGTTGAAGGCAGGGACCAATCTACTTCTCCATCATCCACACTTAGCTCAGTACCAAGCACAAAGTAAGTACTGTAAAAACAATTCTTGAATTAGTAATGGGATTAAAACAAATCTGTCTATTGTCTTCCATCTCCAGAATTGAATTGACACTTGGTATCAAGAAGATCCTATAGCTGTTTTTTTAATTGTTATACCACGGCATATGATAATCAGTGATACAAAATATATTCATCCCTGTGGTAAGTAGAAGAGAAAAAAAAATGATAAATGACAGCTAGCATTAATTTTTTGTCTCAGATTCTTCAAGGTACTGTCATCAAAATTGCCACAAATCATCCTCTTTCTGAAACTCTTTCAAAATGGCTTCTCCATCTTTACTCAGCTTTTATATGTTGTTATTTCTTAGAGAAGACTCTTGAGAGTCCCTTGGACTGCAAGGAGATCCAACCAGTCCATCCTAAAGGAGATCAGTCCTGGATGTTCATTGGAAGCAATGATGTTGAAGTTGAAACTCCAATACTTTGGCCATCTGATGCAAAGAGCTGACTCGTTTGAAAAGACCCTGATGCTGGGAAAGATTGAGGGCAGGAGGAGAAGGGGACGACAGAGGATGAGATGGTTGGATGGCATCACCGACTCAATGGACATGGGTTTGGGTAGACTCTGGGAGCTGGTGATGGACAGGGAGGCCTAGTGTGCTGTGGTTCATGGGCTCGCAAAGAGTCGGACACGACTGAGCGACTGAACTGATTGACTGAAATCTTGGGTTCTATTTCTTGGGATTCTAATGCTATGTCTCCTTTCTAACTTTTTTGAGAACTCTCATGTTACACCCATGCCTACAATTATTACCAAGACAGCAGAGGATTGCAAATTTCTAAACAAAGTTAGATCTCCCTTCTGAGTGGGATTTCCAAAATTATGACTGTTTACTGGCTTCTCTACTAGATATAGGTGGCCACTAGTGGTAAAGAATCCACCTGCCAATGCAGGAGACATAAGAGACACAGGTTCAATCCCTGGGTTGGGAAGATCCCCTGGAGGAGGGCATGGCAACCCACTCCAGTACTCTTGCCTGGAGAATCCCATGGACAGAGGAGCCTGGCGGGCTACAGTCCATGGGGTCACAAAGAATTGGACATGACTGAAGTGACTTATCGTGAACACATTCTACTAGATACATTTGAACTAAAACTCATTCCTGCTTTCTGCTATTCTCCACCTAAATCTGTACTGTACTGCAAATCTGGGTGAATGACACCCATGCCCCAAACTAGGTACCTTATTCCCCACATATCCCTCTCATCCACCCCCTGCATTCCATCTGTATCCCTTGGTTGACTTCAGCTGCACATCACAGCTTATCTATAATTATGACCACAGTCTCCTCTCAGGTCTCCATGGAGACCACCCCAATCCCATCTTTCTATTCTTCATGTTGAAACCAAAATCACCTTTCTAAAAGTCAAATCTGAACTTGTCTCTTGCTAACCTAGACATTTCTGATGCCCCATCACAGAGAAACAAACTTAACACTATAAACATGTCTGTCTGTGCTCTGGCTTATCTGCCTTTCTGGACGTCCAGAATCTACTCTGCCCCCCAAATCCTCTGCAACCCCAGAAAATACCTTTGCCGGTGGTATTGAAACTCTCCCCTTCTCCTCATCTGACAAGCCCCTACTGAGCTGAGCTGAGCTGTCACTTCTGTGAAGCCTTCTTCGACACCAAGCTCCACAGAATTGGTTGCTCTTCCTTTGATTCCCTCTAATTCTCATTTCTTCTCATAGCATTGATTATCAATTGGGAAGTCATGTCTTCTCCCCTTACTGGTTCTCATTAGGTCCACCAAACACCTGTAGCCTTAGTACATTCTTAATAAACTGCAAAACCTGTGAAGCAGAATCTCTGAAGGTGGGCTAGGTCCTGGAATGCACATTTTACAGACACCCCAACTCCATGAGTCTTATGAACTGCTGCTCCCCAGGATGGTAACTCACTTATCCGGATCTCTGGCATTTAGTTCAGTGCCTACACTCAATAGAGTCTCAGTACCCAGGAAGGGCCATGTGACTTCTCCTGTGTCACCAACAAGTAAACATCTCAGAAAAATAGTCATTTGCCCAACTAATGTGTGCAAACCTGGGCCTTCAATGGAAGGCTCTGGTGTTAGGGAGTTTGGTGTTAGAATGTTTACACACATATATCCTGGTATATGGTGGGCCAATTAAAGCTTGTTGTCTGATGATAGACTATTGAGTTTCCCCAAAAGTTTGAATTGTTCATAAGATGGTATGGGAAAATCTGAACGAACTTTTTGGATAACTCAATCCGAATCCTTAATGCTTCCCCTGCATTCAAGTGTAATTGCTGTACCATCAGGGCTTCCCAGGTGGCTCAGGGGTTAAGAATCTGCTTGTGAGACCGGAGACACAGGTTCAATCCCTGAGGAAGGCATGGCAACCCACTCCAGTACTCTTGCCTGGGAAATCCCATGGAAGAGGAGCCTGGCAGGCTACATCCATGGGGTTGCAGAGTGGGACATGGCTGAAGTGACTGAGCATGCACTCATGCCCTACCATCAACTCCTCTCAGCACCAGCTGACCTTTCCAGGGAGTGGGGGTAGGGGGCAGCTGATTAGAATTGGGCGGGCTTATAACATTAAGTGGCCAATCTGTAGCACCCAAGGCATGGCAAAAAGATGAACTAAGTCAAGCAAATTTTCATTCTCAAAAAGTTTAGGGAAAATAAGAAGAAAAAGCAGTTAGAAGTTGTAGTTGAAACTAAAGATATGAAAAGTCCCTTAAAGGGGACATGAATCCCATAAGACACATTACAGGAAATCTATCACTATAAATATATATACAAATATATATATATATAATCATACATAAACATTTTTATATATACATACACAATTTATATATAGTCATATATGTGTATGTGTGCATGTGTGCATATATGGCCATATAGCATGGTAGCTAAAAGCATGGAGTTTAGAATCAGAAAACCTGGGTTCAGATCCCAAGGACAGTAATTATTATCTGTGTCACCTCTTAACTTCTCTTAAGCTTCAGTTTCTTCATCTGTACTTTGTAAACGGTAATAACCATAGTTTTTGAGAAAAGTCATA